GAGACACCAGAGAGAACTCACAAGGGGGTGGTCAAAATAACCTGACCACCTGATGACCCAACACCGAGCACAGGCTGGTTAGGGCGCCTTTTCATGGAGTGCTTGTTGTGTGTGGAATGTTCTTTCTCTAGGTGTTTGCATGGGAGGAGTCCTGGAGGCAGAATGGTTATGAGTTGGGCTGCTAACCTCAAGGTCAGCTGTTTGAAACCCCCAGCTGCTCTGCAGGAGAAAGATGAGCCCCTACTCCCATGGAGAGTGACCGTCTCAGGAACCCACGGGGCAGTTCTAGCCAGTCCTAGAAGATTGCCTGGAGTCAGAACAGACTTGCTGGTAGTGAGTTTACTTCCTTTTATTTTTAGGTGTTTGTATGGCTGCTTCCCTCACCTCCTTTCTTCAAATGTCACTCTCTCCGTATTCTGACACCCAGATTAAGACCACACCTGTGCCAGCCCTTCCCATCCTTCTTCCCTGATCCACTTTTCATCCCCCACACCCCCACATTGTGCAAATCACCTCTTAAGTACCACGAACTTTACTGATGTATCCTATCGATGACTTATGGCCTGCATCCTATCTGGGGTGTAGGGAAACGTTGAGCTCAGAGTACAGGCTCAGTACGTGTTTACTGAGTGACCTCAATTATGAAGACAATAGTGCAAATGGGAGACTGACTCATAAGATCGTAACTTCCCACAACTCCACTATGGGCCCACCTTGGGTGCTGGAGCAAGTGGGGCAGGGGAGGGGGAATGCTGCAAATGGGAGAGGGGAGACAGGGGAGAAGTCATGTCCCGGAGGACGCTGTGTCCCAGGGCGTCAGCACCCTGACAACCCTGAGCCTGTGGCAGAGCCATGTGCACCCACAGCACAGATCTCCCTCCCCCCCCTCCCCTGCACTGCTCCGCTCAGAATAACTCCCTGAAGAGAAGGTGAGGGTGGGCGCGATAGAGTTCCCAGGGTTTTGAGACAATTCTGCGAATGGGATGCACTGGTCCACAGAAGCGTGTGCCCGCCTGTGTACACGTGTCTCTACATCCACAGAAGCGTGTGCCTGCCTGCGTGCAAGTGTCTACATGTATGTCTAGAAGCTCAAGTTATTTTTTTTCCTGAAAAGAAAAATATGACTGTAAACAGAAATAGGAAGAGGTTTAGAAAGGTCATGGAAAAGTACCCTTATCTTAAAAAAACAAATTCATCTTTTTATTCCATTTTCCCATGAACTTTCTGAAGCCCTTCACGGCGGGAACAGAGATAAAATCATGTCAGCGCTTAGAAACAAACGGAAGTTACCAGGTAAAGGAGCCATTTCTGCACCCACGGAGATGGTAACTGTGAAAATAGAAAAAGAAGAGATGAAGCCGATAAGAAATGCGGATCCTCTGGGGCGGGGTAATAATGTGGGGAAGGGTCAGGATGAAGGCGGCCCGGCACGGGAGCGTGATCACTGCTCTCACCGTCCATGTAGCGGCAAGCGTCTTCTTCTAGGTCTAGATATAATTCTGTTATCACAGGAAGCCGTGCATGGCTGTGCATGCCGATCGTGGATAGCCTAGGCTTTTTTTGCTGTGGATCTGAAAACATCATCCACAAAGTTCTATTTTCTTGGCCACCCACATCTGACAAGTGGTATTTGGTGGATGATCCAAAGAGAAAAGACGCAGTTAACTGATCAGAAAAGAGCGTTATGACTGCACGGGAGCTTGGTAAGGAAGACTAAGGAAAGGGCTCCGGTCTGTGGGGGCTGAGCACGGAGAGGCGGGTCTGTGGAAAGCAGCGCGGGCTCATTCTTTCAGATGGCTAGCGGATCTCTTACAGCTGGAGTGGAGACTGCCAGGGTCAGCAGAAGCTGTTCATTGGTGCCCCCCCCACCCCAAATGGTGTCCAGCTCAGGTCCCCTCCTGCCAGTCCTTAGATACACCTCTGGGAAAGTGGAAATAAGAAACTCAATCATCAGGAAATATTTTTAGATAAGAGAAAAATCATATATGAAAAGTGTGACTCGACATTAAAAACATGCAGAGGATAGGAAGCTTTAAATTTGTCAGCAGGCTAATGATGGCCATAGAAATGACCTGAAACGGAGTGCTCACCTCCAGCAGACAGATGATCATTACCCGGCAACGCTGTCGTGTTTGTCGGAACTGGATCGGTGGCTGCAAAACCAAACCCAAACAAAACAATAAATCCGAGAAAAACTCATGACGTCGCGTCAATCCTGCCTCACAGCCACCCCTGTGGTAGTCCATATTTTCTCCCTAGTCATTCTCTGACCCCGGGCCCAACGTTCACTTCCTAAGTATCTGTTTCCTCCCCGCTACAAGCAAACGAGTGTAACCTTCAGAGGGTGAAGTCTATGACCTCAGTGGCCCTGTGTTACCCTCTGGAGTGGCCACACTGAGCAAATGCAATACGGACGTTAGTCACTGTCCCACCACCAGCACCGCCACACTGCCCGCACCACAACTCCCACCTTCTTTTTCCTCTCCTTGCCCTTCCTCTTCTCCTCCTTCTTCCTCGTCTCCCTTTCCATCTTCTCTTTCTCCTCCTTCAGCATCTTCATCTCCGTCTTCTTCTTCCTCATCTTTTCCTTTTTCTCCTCCTTCAGCATCTTCATCTCCGTCTTCTTCTTCCTCATCGTTTCCTTTTTCTCCTCCTTCAGCATCTTCATCTCCGTCTTCTTCTTCCTCATCTCCTTCGTCATTTTCATGTCCTCCTTTCCCCTTTTCTCTCTCTCCCCCGTCTCCTTCAACATCTTCATTTTCCCCTTCTCTTGAATCATTTGCATCTTCATCTTCTTCCTCGTTCCCTCCTTCTTCATTTTCTCCATCTCCTTTTCCTCCTCCTCCATCAGTTTCATCTCCGTCTTCCTCATCTCCTCCTCCTTCACCATCTTCATCTCCGTCTTCTTCCTCGTCTTCTCCCTTTCCTTCTCCTTCATCGTCTTCATCTCCGTCTTCTTCCTCATCTCCTCCTCCTCCTCCATCAGTTTCATCTCCGTCTTCTTCCTCATCTCCTCCTCCTCCTCCATCAGTTTCAT